GCTGGGCAGCCTGGGCAGCCCCTCGCCCACCCACAAAAGCCCCCTGCGATCGCCCCGGGCAGACGGCCCCCAATTTTGTGCCTCCCCCGGGATGCCCCGAGCCGCCTGGGCAGAGGGTCGCCGGCTCCTGCTGCCACCCGGCGCATCCTCCTGCTCCATCCCCGGGCTGTCCCCCAGCCCCAGGAGTCCCCTGCCATCCCCCGTGGTGGGTGGTCGGTCCCCGGCCAAGCGTTGCACCTCCCGGTCCCCGACGGACTCGGACGTCTCCCTCGACTCCGAAGACTCGGGGGCCAAGAGCCCGGGCATCCACAGCTTCAACCTCTGCCCCCGGGGCTGGACCGGCAGCCTGCGCCTAAAGCCAGGGGGGCTGCCCTCGGGGGCCCCCTGCCCCTCCTAGACCAGCCAACCCTCTCCCCAGCCCCACCAATCCACCCGCTGACCCCTTCCATGGGAAACATCCCAACCGACCCTCCGGGCTGTGGTCACCCTCCAAAAACGGTGTCCCCACTCCCTGGCGGAGCCTCGGCGTGCCGGTGGGGTCAGGTGCCTCCCGCCTGCCCGCCATCCCATGGCCCCGCTCTATTTTTACCACCCTAACCTTTCGGGGCAGGACTGCCTGGTCAGCAGGCAGAGCAGGCAGAGCAGGCAGAGCAGGCAGCAGTTGGGGGGGGCAGGAGGGGGAGCCAACCCCCAGCACTGCCCCCTCCCTCCGCCGCCCCTGCCCGCCAGCCGGCCCCATGCCACATAGCCAGGATGGGGACGGGCTCGGTGGTCCCCTGCGAGCCCCCCTGTCCCCAGCGCCGGGGTGTCACCCCAGGGTGTCACCGCAGCTCTGCTTTCCCGGGGTGGGCAGCACCGGGTGGGTGTCACAGCCGGGCACCCTCTCCCAGGCTGTCCCAGCCTCCAGATGTGGCTGGTTTCCGCTGAAACCAGATTTTGGGGAGGAAAAGTTAATTTCTTATTCTATCCCCCTCCAGTCCTTCATTGCTTTTTTTTTTTTTTTTTTTTTATACTTTTGACCCCTTCTCAAAGAAATTCACCCAAACCCTTCTGCAGTGACCAAAATGAAAGCCAAAGTTATTTATTGCCACGTCGAGGGGACCGTTTACAGGTGCCCTCCTGTCCTGCCCAGGCAAAGAGGAACAGCCCCATCCTGTACCCTGTCACCCTCCCTATCCCCAGGCTCACCCCATCATGTCCCCACCCCTGTGGGACAGAGGGACACATGGGGACAGGGG